ATGAAACAGGAGTGATCTAGATGTCTTCTACCAGTGAGGGCCAATGCCTTTCTGTATGAGGCAGAGTGTGAGGAACCTCTCACTTTCATCCAATCAGGATTTCATTTCTGCTGAGCCTGGCTGCAGTTTGGGTCAAGATCCCTAAGAGCTTAGACTATGCCCCAGTGAGGATGCAGTGGATGTGAGGTAGGTGGAGAGGAGGATAAGGAGTTGCTATTATGAAGATAAGTATGCTGGCTCATCCCAGCACTTAGGATGCTGAGGCAGGAGGATTCCTTTGAGTTTCATTCCAGTCTGGAACACAAAGAGACTATTGGTATTTGGTGGGAATATGTTTTTTTGGTTTTTCATGTTATAATATTCTTTAGAGTGGTAAGTAGAAACTTTTTAATGAACCTTTTTATGATTTGAACCCAGGGTCTTGTACACACCAGTCAAGGACTCTATCACTGAGCTATATTCCTAACCCTCTTTTTCCTTTTTATTTTGAGAGCGGGTCTCACAAAGATAGTCCAGGCTGACCTTAAGTCTCTGTACAGTTCAGGCAGGCCTTGAACTTGTGATCCTCCTGCTTCAGTCTCCTGGATAGCCAGGACTACAAACCTTCAGGACCAGCAATGAAGAAATTTTAAGAGAACCGCTGGAAGTCTTTTATTTGGCATCCCAATGTAAACTTTGCCTTGGGTTATGGTATTTGGTGGCAATATGTTATTTTGGTTTTTCATGTTATTATTTTTTCTCTGTGATTTTTGTCATGTGAATTTCTTTTGTAGTTTCTAATTCTTGTGTGAGACTCAAGCCTTCAAGTTTAGGTCTGCTTCTTTTTGTGAACTTTATGTGTCTTTCTGGTTGACTTTTTGGGCATGAAAAGCTGGTTCATCTAAGCTTCCGGTTCTCTCTTGGTTTTCTATTGGAGTGGCCAGATTGCTCTTGTCTTCAGGAGTTCCCACAGAGACCCAAGTCAGATGAGGATCAAATGCTCTCAGGCTTTCTCCTAAGGTCTGGATCCCTCCAGGAAAGATTTTGGCCTCAGGAATTTGGGGGTTGGACTGGCCTGGGAGCGGCGCCCAGGAAAGATGACGGTCTAGGGCAGCTGGTGGCTGTCCCACCCAGAGATGCAAAGGAAGATGGGAGCAGGAAGTGGCCCTAAGGGCTCCTGGGGACTGCACTGAGGAACTGGGTTGGTGTGGATGCAAAAGATCATGAAGAGGAAAGGTCAGCCCAGGCATCCAGGAAAGAGACTGGAGGGTCGTGGAGGCCCATCGAAGTAGTGGGAGGTGAGGGCGGGGCCAAGCCCGGAGTGCTGCTGGGGACCCAATAAGGAACTGAGTTGGTCTGGGTGCAAAGGATCAGGAAGCAGTGGTGGTTCCCCAGGTGTCTGGGGTGTCACGACAAGGAATGGGACAGGACACAGGCTAGGAGGAGAGACCGGAGGGGGAGATGGGAGGGTGAATGAGGCTGGGGGAGTCAAGGCATGGAGGGCACGATCGACTTACCCTGGAGAGAGGCCTGCAGATTGGAGAGAGGCCTGTAGGTCGTGCAGGCCCCAGGAAGCGGAGGGAGGTGAGGGTGGGGCCAGGCCCAGAGTGTTACTACTCATTTTTGCTTTCGAGTTCTTTTAAGTTTTTGCAGTGTTGTGGATCAAACACAGAGCCTTATATATGCTAAAAACATACCCTAGCACTGTTATATCTCCTTGTACATCTTTAATTCTATTTTAGGCTAAGCAGATTTCTGATACTTCCTTATATATTGAAATAGCTGACTTAAAATTTACCTTAGGGGCTGGAGAGATGGCTCAGTGGATAAGAACACTGGTTGTTCTTGCAGAAGACCCAGGTTCAAATCCCAGCACCCACATGGCAGCTAACAACTGTCAATAACTCTAGTTCCAGGGGATCCAACGGCCTCTTCTGTCCTCTGCAGGCATTAGGCATTGCACGACATGGGTGCACTTATCTACATGCAGGCAATACACTCATACACATAAAATAAAAACAATAAATAAAATATTTTTAAAAAATCTTTGTTAACAAAATTATCCTAAGAGTCAGGGCTAGAGTGATGGTTGAGCAGTTAAGGCACCCAGGTTCGATTCCCAGAACCCACATAACAGCTAACAACCACCTGTAACTTCAGTTCCAGGGTATCCAACACCCCCTTCTAACCTCCACATGCATTGCATGACATGGGTGCACTTACATATATGCAGGCAATACACCCATACACATAAAAAATATCATAAAATATTTTTAAAAAATTTATCTTAGGGGGCTGGAGAGATAGCAGTTAAGAGCACTAGCTGCTCTTGCAGACAACCTGGGTTTGATTACCCTCCCCCACATGGTGGCTAACACCCATCCAAAATTCCAGTTTCAGGGGATCTGAAGCCCTCCTGTCAACTCCAGCAGCATTGCACAACATGGGTACACTTACATGCATGCAGGCAATACATTCATACATATAAAATAAAAATAATAAATAAAAAATTTTTTAAAAATTATCTTAGTGGGGCTGGAGAGATGGTTCAGCGGTTAAGAGCATTAGCTGTTCTTGCAGAGGACTCAGTTTCATTTCCCAACATCCACATGGCAGCTAACAACCATCTCTAACTCCAGTTCCAGGGGTCTGACGCCCTCTTCTGTCCTCTGCCAGCATTGCATGACACAGGTGCACTTATACACATGCAGGCAATACATTCATACACATAAAATAAAAATAAAAAGGTTTTTTTAAAAAATAAAAATAATAAAATATTTTTAAAAAATAAAAAATTAGAATCAAATATTCTTAGTGGAAGAAATAAATTGAACTTAGTTTCTGGGAGAACTGCACAGTACTACATTGGTTTAGAGTGTCGAAAATGTGTAGATATTTTTGTATACACGTACTAAGAATGGAAAACCCCATAAAATAATAAAATATGCACAAATTAGCCCCCAAACCCATTAGATTTGGCATAAGTAAGTCAGTGAAAATCGATACTAACTTATAATGTCAAGTGAAAAAGAACATAATTGTGTATGGAAAAATTCCAATTTCACTGAGAAACCATTTCAAATATAGAAATTTTCAACACAAGGAAATATTTATCACTATATTTATGTACTTACACAATATACATAATATCGACAAGTTTCTTCTGTTGGCCAGTGAGTTGGAGAAAATATCAAATTTTGTATTATTTTTAAATATTTTATTTACTGTTTTTATTTTATGTGTGAGTGTATTGTCTACATGTATGTAAGTGCACTTGTGTCATGCAATGCCCCAGGAGGTCAGAAGAGGGTGTCAGATCCCCTGGAACTGGAGTTTTGGACAGTTGTTAGCAGATATGTTGGTGCTGGGAATCGAAGCCAGGTCCTCTGCAAGAGCAGTCAAGTGTTCTTAACCACTAAGCCATCTCTCCAGCCCTTATTATTTTATTGTATGTGTGTTACTCTATTGCCTGTATAAGTGTAAGTGTGCCTGTGTTGTGCAATGTAGCAGAGGTCAGAAGAGGGTGTTGGATGCCCTGGAACTGGAATTATGGACAGTTGTTAGTCGCCATGTGGGTGCTGGGAATTGAACCCAGGTCCTCTGCAAGAGCAGCTAGTGCTCTTAACGGCTTCTGAGCCATCTCACCAGTCTCCAATTTTTTTTTATTATTTTAAATCTCGATTAATGGTCAACGTGCCTATAGTTGAATTCTGTGTTTTTCCCTGTATGTGGACGTGTAATCAATTTTTTTGAGACAAGGTCTAGTGTACCCCAGGCTGTCCTTGAACTCATTATGTGGCTGAGGATGGCCTTGAACTCCTGCCTCCATCTCTGGAATGCTGGATTCATGCTGTGCTGGGGTGGGAACCCAGGGCTTTCTGCATGTTAGACAAGACTAGCTACTGAGGTACATCCCCAGCTTCTCCTGACTTTCAACAGATTTGTATCTTATAATTTTACTCCTATTTCTTTGGGGGAGATATTCTGCATATATAAAACTAGATTTGTTTTTACAAGAAAAAAGTCATTGAAGTTCAAACCTGAGCTCAATCTTTATTGTGTGCTTTATTTTCACAATTATTCTAGAATTATCCTATTTGTGAGCCTGAGCCTTTAACGGGCTGCACAAGCTCTCCAGCCCAGATTGTCCTATTTTTGAGAAACTGTTAAATGTAACCTCCATGGGATGAAAAGTTGCTGCCTGAAAATAACCTCACAAAGAGGCAGAAATTATTGTGAACTCTCAAATCATAAAAACCAGCTCTTTCTCTTGGAAAATAAGCACATGTTATATACCAGAGGAAACAATTGAGAGCTCACTAAGAATCCTTCCCTCCTGCGGGGACTTGGATTTTACCACTTATGTGGTCAGTTCTCTGTATAAAGCAAAGAAACATGAGTTTCTCCTAAACTACCTTTTACATTAGTTTTATATTTAGAGGCAGTACTTTAACAAGGAAACCTGCAAAACTTAGAAAACTTTTTCCACAATTTCACAACCACATTCATTTTTCATCATCTACCTATTCTTTGGTTCGTTTGCGCATGTTTTTTTTTAACCAGTGTAATAATATCCTGTGATTGTACTCTTATGATCTCTTTCTATTTAAACTTTAAAAATAACTATTATTTTTTCGTGAGCACTGTAGAGGGAACGGGGTGCTGTCCCATGGCTTCCAAGCCCGATCTTGTTTGTCCCCAACAGTCCTGGAACCACCACCCGGTGTTTCTACCTCCAGGCTTCAAGCCGCCCGCCCACGACCGACCCCACCGGTCTGGGCCCACCCCGCTGCTCCCAGGACATCGCCCCATCTTTGCCACCCAGGTCCCACCCTATAGTCTCAGGCTCCGCCCTGCCACCCAGGCCCCGCCCCACCTCTCCGGACTGCTGCTCTGAGACCTGGTCTGCCACTCCGCCCCTCACAATAGGCTCCGCCCTCATCATAGGCCCCGCCCAAGCATCCACACCTCGTCCCGTCGGCCCACGGTCCCAGGCCCCGCCCCTCCGCTTTGGGGCTCCGCCCCGGCTGGTCGCCATATTGTTCCCTCAGCCTGGTTCGCCAGCAGTAGGAGCTCGAGCTGGGTATTCCTGTCGTCGCCGTCAGGCCTCTGGCCCTCTTTTTTCACGCATTGTTCCTAGCCCGGCTGGCCAGCAGTTCTCGCGGGATCCTCGGTGTGACTGCAAAGGTAAGCGGTGCTCGCCCGGCGGTCTTTTCTTGGCTGGCCAGGAGCCGGGGAGGGGCGCGCACAGCCGAGGCTGTGGGGCAGCGGGGGCTGAGGGCGACCGGGGGAGGGGCACGCCGAGGTGGCGCGCGTCTGCCTGTCAGGAGAGGGGACGTCTGGTTGTCTCCGTGTCTGCTGGTGACTGACGCAGGAGGAAAGACGGCTCCCACACCCACACACCGTGGGAGAGGGACGCACACCCAACCACTAGGGGGGACACTCACACATCCTGAAGGGAAATCCATACCACCCCGAGGAGATCCACGTAAACCCCCAAACACTTGGGAAGAGGAGGCTGGAGAGATGCGCTCCGGCACAAATACATGCAGTCACCTGGGTACACACGTATGCACCCGCCTTTCCCCTAGCCACGCGAGGCCACACACCCACGCATCCCAGACCAAACCCTGCGCCTGACTGACTAACGCAGGGAAAGCGAGGACGCTAGTGTTACTTGAGCTTGGTCGCGTCTGACATCTACCCAGCCGAGCGTTTGCTTAATGCCTTTGACCCACGCAGGTGATCGGCAGCTTGGAAGGTAAAGCCAGCCCTGGGGGATACTGGCGGGTGGGGACACTGTCTGATTCAGACCTTGGCTCAGGTTTCAGAATCGCGTTCCATTGTTTCTTCCAACTTAGTAAGTGAAAAGGCAAGATGAGAATTTGAAGTGCTGACCAAATGGTTGGTGGGGGTATTGTTTTGGTTTTGACGTGATGACACATCTCGTGATCCTACTTCTTTTGAGGAATAACTTTGGTGCAAGTTTCCAAATTGGCATGTGACCAGAGCAGTCTTTTCACCGCGTACTCATAAAGTCAGAAGACCGAATTTGATTGGGTTTTTTGTTATTTTGTTTTTACGTGTTTGTCTTTTTCTTCACCGGCTCCTCTGGAATGGAAAATCCCTACACTGCCCGAAATCTCAAAAGCTGTCCAGTGGAGCAAAACTACAGTTGAAGGAAACCCAGAACTTTCGGCTACGGACTTTTTTCCTTTTTTTATTTTTTTAATTAATTTATTGTTTTGTTCTTCCTTCCAGGGCTGGAGACGAATATTAGGGCCTTGTGTTTGCTAAACAGGCACTCTGTCCCGGAACTAGATCCCCAGCCCCTCAGCCAGGGACTTCCTAAGAAGCCTGCTTTTAGTTTCTGTTTTCGAGACTTATGGTGAAGTAAGTCACCACTACTTGTGTTGAACTCTGGAGTGTCTTATTTAAGAGCGCCGTGTCTTACTGTGGCAGTCGCTTGCATTCCGCATTTTCACCTACACTGCATTTAAGTCCCTTTTGCTGTACTAAAATGTCTATGGTTTGGAGGCTTTCTTATTTAGGACATTTGAGGATTATCTGGAAGCTTAGAGTGGACAGGCAAAAGTGAGAACGTACTAGTTGTTGATTAGGAAAATACCTTACTGGTAATTCCCTTTTCCAGCCTCATTCTTTTACTTTTTGTCTTTCTCAGCGACTTCCACCCTATACTACAAGTCCTCTGGAGGTCTGAAGATAAGAGTTCTGGCAACTTATTTTAGCCTCTCCCAATTTCTTATCTTTTATTAGGCTGGCTCACTCTGGCGCCGGCACTCATACCCTGTCTGTGGGTGGAAGTCCAGTGGGTGCATGCTTTCGCTCTCCCAGCATTTCCATAGTAATGGCTCCATTTTTCAGATAAGGAGTTTGCTGGAACATGGGCAGGTTAGATTGCCTTCCCAAGGTTACAGAGGCACTGAGCTGACTTTTAGAGTTCTAATTCTCCCATGGGATGCAATTTTGTGCCCTCAGGGGTATTTAAAAATGTCTAGAAGCAGTTTTGGTTCACATTCCAGGGCACACAGGGCTTCTGTAGTTCTTTATAAATACAGTGGCACTTTACTATTGGGATTAGACTTTTATTATTTCAAAAGCTTGCCTGTGGGTCTGGAGAGATGGCTCAATGGTTAAGAGCACTGGCTACTCTTGAGGACCTACCTTCACACACAGGGTTGGTTGCTAACAACTATCCATAACTGGTTTCCAGGGTTTGACATCTTCTGGCCTCCACAGTCATTGCACAGATGTGGTGCACTTACATGCAGGCAAAACACTCATCACATAAAATAAAAATCAATTAATAAATAAAAAGTTAAAAGCTTGCCTAGAGAAAGTCCTGTTTACTAAGCAGCATATTACTTTGAAAGATGGATTGAGAAAGTACCTGGTAACAATCCATTTTTTGTTTCATTTTTTTGAGGTAGGGTGTTATTACCCCAGCTGGCCTCAAAATTGCTATTATAGCTGAGGTTGTCTTTGAACTCCCGATCCTACTGCCTCAGCCTCCTAAATGCTGGGATTGCAGGCATGCACCACCACACCCAGCTTCAGAATCCATTATTTTGTTTTGGTTTTAGACAAGTGACAAAAAGTTGAGAGCTACTGGGAACTCTTGTAGTAGACTTAAACTTATTTAGTTTCTGTGTTATTCTAGTCATCCACAGACATTTTCTGAGCAGCCTGTTGGGTGCTGGTAAACAGGTGCTGGCAAGTGGAAGACTAGTGGGAAAGCCTTCACCTTCCTGAAGCTTACAGCCTAGTCACAATCATAAGACCAGGTTCTGGCATGGTCCTAGAACAGAATTTATTGCTTGGGCTACTTAAGAACAGAGGTCAGATGCTCCTTAAGGAAATAAAACACACCACACCCAGCACAGAAATACCTGTGTCATGGCATTTAGTGTGGGCAGACTTAAAGGAAGTGGAGATGAGTTGCTGGGTTCTTTATAGCTTCGTGTAATTGAACGTCTGTGTGTGTGTGTTTACCAAACCAAATCCAGGAGCTAGGTGTTGATTTGTTTGTTTTAAGTTTTTAAAATTTATTTGTATTTTATGTGTAAGAGAGTTTTAGTGTTTTGTCTGCATATATGTAAGTGCATCCATGCGTGGGGTGCCCACAGAGGCCAGAAGAGGATGTTGGGTTCCCTGGCACTGGAGTTATGGGTTGGTGTTGAGAACTAAACCCAGGTCCTCAGCAAGAGCAGTCAGTGCTCTTAACAGCTGAGCCATCTCTCCATCCACTTGTTTGTTTTTATAGACAGGGTCTCAACTGTATAATCCCCACTGGCTGCACATTCAATTTGTAGCCCAGGCTAGCCTTGATCTCCCAATCCTCCTGCCCAGAGAAGCCATTCTTGTTGAGCATATTTTTCCTTAAGTTTAGCCTCAATGGACAATAGTTACAGTTTTGTTTTTTTGAGACAGGGTCTCCTTATAGCCCCAGCTGGCCTGAATTCACTATGTAGACCAGGCTGGCCTTGAACTCACAGAGAGCCACCTGCCTCTGCCTTCCAAGTGCTGGGATTAAAGGCATGTGCCACCACGCCTGGCCACATTTTTATCCTTTTAAATCAAGAAATAGATGATGAAACTAAAAAAATAGCTTTTTATAATTTTCTTTTTGGCGTTTTTCAGCTTAATTTTCTCCATGCTTCCGTAAGACCAGGTATTTCAAAATATGTACTGTCCATTCTGGTGTCAGTTATTACTGTTAGGTGAGCTTTGGGGTGGGTCAGTTGAGAGGGGGAGTCAAGAAGGGCTGGATCTCTTTAGGCATTCCTGGGAAAGCATTACTCAAATTGTCGATATGGCATCTTTTTGACAGTAGGTTTGTTTTTGTGTGGGAGTGTGTGGGGGGGTATGGAGGTAGGTGTGTATATGGGGGGTGGCATATATGCAGAGACCAGAGTGGGTATCTATCCTGCCACTCTTATTGCCTTGAGACAGGGTCTCACTGAACCTGGAGCAAGGTTGGGGGCCAAAAGCCCCAGCAATCCTCCTTTCTCTGTTCCCTACATCATAGGAATTACCAGTGTGTGTGTGTGTGTGTGTGTGTGTGTGTGTGTGTGTGTGTGTGTGCCTATGACCACATGAAGCTGTTACATGGGTTCTGGGGATTCAAACTCAGGTCCTTAAGCTTGCTTAGCAAGCTCTCTTTCTACAGAGCCATCCCCTCAGCCCCAAAGCTTTGGCTTTTGACTCATGCACAGTGTTTTTCTTTGCTAATGAATATGGATTTCTCTGCCTCATACGAGAAGCTGTATGCTACGGGGTGGAGGTAGAGGAATGCTGAATTTCACATCTGAAAATGATTGCCAGCACATGCAGTCTAACAAAAGGTATGTGTAGTTTTTTTTCTGGGAAAGGTCAGAAGGCCTTGGTGCCAGAGGAATCTTGCTCAATGATTAGTTGTCTTGCTGTTCTAGGCAAGTTCGATCCCTACATTTCTTTTTTTGTAAAATGAAAAGACAGTTGTACTTCCTAATGTCTATGAGATTGTATGCCATCAAGTAGGAATAGCAAAATCATTAAATAACATGTAATTTCACCCTGGGCAATTTGTTGGTTATGCAGCAGGAGAAATAAGCCAGTTAGAAGTGATGTCCAATGAATCTAACTTGAAAGCCATTTAGATCATAAAACCTACTATAAGAAAATAGGGCTTGTGACTAAGTAGGTCATCCACAGAGACCATTTATTAAAGATTTGTGGGGAGGGAGGAGGGTGGAGCTGAACTCAATGCCTCAGGGAGTTTGGAGGGAAATTTTGAAGCAAATGGAAGGTCAGGATACCTGAGGGAGGACACCTGGAGCCACCTAGGTATGTGGGTAGAAGGAGGGGACAGAGACCAGGCCTGTTGCAGTCCCAAGCCTGCTTTGCCAGGGTGCCTGGGGGTGCCTGGTTAGATAACTTGTCGGAGAAATCTGTTTCCCAATGTGACTCTTGGTACTGTACATATTGTGAAGTTGTGCTCTGGCTATTTCCACATTCCAGATTTTTCCATTACATTTTGTTAATTTTTGACCATGATGATTTCAAGCTGTAGAAAACTGTGGCATTGGAAACAGGAAGATACATAGTGAATGAATATTAAGTAAGATAATAGCTACATACACATGGAATGGAAGGGGGCGTGTTTCAGGAAGAAAATGAAGCAGGCAGGCCTGGCTTCGTACTCTGTGGACACAGACTCCACTTTTGTCTCAGGCCTAAGGCATTACAGATGTATGCCATTGTGTTGAGTGGCGCTGGAGAAACAGTATAGAACACTCTGTGCATTCATTCCATGGCTGCATTTTCATCTAAGGGTGAAGGACAGCAGAACAGTATAAAAGGGCTGAACTGTTTCAGTTCCAAGTTCTTTTGAATTGGATTAGATTTTTAGGTACAGAAGGTAACTGTCTAGAAGGTTAGTTCTCATAAGTAGGTGTGTTTATTAGTGTTAGAGAAATGGGAAAGAAAGCCTTATAGACTTATTTCTACAACTTGCTGTGTAGAACTCTAACAGAGAGGAGTGTTAAATGATTCTGACAAATTCAGAAAAGCCAGGCATCATGGTGTACAACATATAATCCTAGCACTTCGAAGGCAGACAGGATCGGTAGTTAGTTCAAGGCCATTGTTGGCAGCATAGGAAGTTTGAGGCCAGCCTGGGATACATGAGACCCTGTCTCAGAAATAAATAAATAGAAAAAAATAAACATAAGTAGAAATCTCTTGGTTACTGTTTTCAGTTATAGGGCTACTCTAATCTTGTAGTGCATTTGATCTGGTGAGCATGCCTGAAGTACATGCATATGCCACTGGAAGTCAGAACAGAAAAACTGCCTGAGGACCATACATTGGTGAATACACTGTATTTTGGAACGAATTCCAATGTTCTTAAATAAAATTAGAATAAAACATTGTTGTTTTGGAGCAAACAACTGCCATCCTTATAGTCTGTAATTAATTTTTACCCAATACTTAATTTTTAACTGTAGTCCTGGGAAACCCACCTTCACAAAGATATGACATCATTTGAAGGAATATGTACAACCTAGTTTGACATTGTGAACTCCCTTGAAGGTGATGCCCTACAAATGTCAGTGTCTCGGTTTCCTTTAAAATTTTGTCAGCCAGGACATGGAGGTGCATGCTGTTAATCCCAGTACTCAGGAGGCAGAAGCAAGTGGATTTCTGAGATTGAGGCCGGCCTGGTCTACATAGGAAGTTCCAGGACAGCTGAAGCTACAGGAAGACCCTGTCTCAAAACAAAAAGAATTTCAAATAGCCTGCCCCTGTCCCTGTGAATTCACATAATTTAGGAACTCTAAGATTAGAAGCTGCTGTTTTCCTTTATAGTTTATGAAGTTCAAGGTTTACTGGTAAGGAAATAAGGCATTAAAGTTTGTTTTTAATTACCCACTATTCCCCCTTAAGTAGCAATTTAGTAATGCTGCTATTCTGGTTGCCAAGCTGACAGGAGCAGGGACCTCAGAAGGAGTGCGCAGGCCAGGCTTCTATGTAGATTGTCCTTCCATCCCTACTTTCCTTTCTGTTTTCTCCTCATTTTCTGCTGCATACACCTGTTTAGGAAGTAAGTGTGCTGGGGTGGCAAAAGGAGGGTGGCCAACCTTTCAGGAGTGTGCCAGCTTTCAGCCTTCACCCGTCTTGGTACTTTCTCAGTTCTCTGGTGGAAATTCACTGTCAGCTGTTTCTTCTTGCTGTGGGTTCCTCCCTGCCACAACTGGGCCATTTGCTTTTCATTTTCTAAATTTTCTTGCTGATTTGCATCTAAAATTGTTTCTTCTGGATGCCGTTTTGGAGTTTCTACTTTTTTGGTTGTTGTTCTTTTCTCTACTTGCTGAGAGTGACGATAACACTTTTGACCTGCCATGCTTAGTTAGATGTGGGGACAGTGTTTAATCTTTGTCAGCATCCATTTGTTGATTTGTGAAGCATGGGTTATACTGTCCAACCTGCAGGTGATTTTAAGGGGCTGCGTCTTAGATGCTGTGATGGTTAGTGTTGTCAACTTGACAGTATCTATAATCACCTGGACCTCTGGGCATGCCTATGGGGGAATATCTTGACTACATTAATTGGTGGGAAGACCCACCCATTGTGCGTGACTCCATTCTCTAGTTGGGAGCCTGGGTTGGAGAACTGCATGTATTTATTCTCTCTCTGCTTCCTGGTTGTGGATGCTGTGCAACCAGCTGCTTCATGCTCCTGCTGCCTTGACTTCCCCATCATGATGAAGTGTATCCCCCTGGAACCATAATCCAAAAACCCTTTCTCCCTTAAGTTGCTTTTGTCAAAGTGTTTTATCACAGCAACAGGAAAAGCATCTAAGATAGATATAGCTAGTAGATGTTGTGGCAAACAGGGACTGCTAATATTATGGCTGCAGCACTTGTTATTTAACTAAACAAGACCAGGGCAATGGGGAGGGAAGGAAGTGGATACAGTTCTTTCTATGGTTGAATCAGGCTGATGAGACAGAAGAGAGATTTTGGAAATGGGAAGGATAATTAACATAATTTTATGTACTGAATTTGAACTACTCTCAGGTTGGCAGATGGATGTATTATAAAAGGGGTTGGAAATTCTTGCATGGTCCTCAGGCGAGGGCGGGTGAAGGTGGACTTTAAGAATCACTGGTGTTTATAGTGGAAAAAGGTATGGACTTGGACCTGTGGAGAGACCATCACTGAGAATTTGTTAGGAAAGGGAGCCGCCTGGCTGAAGAAAGCTGAGGATGTGAGAAAAAGCAGGGCCACTTGTTGGTAGTTTTATGGACTCTTAACAGGGAACATTTTCAAGAGGGAGAGGGGTTGCTGACACATAGTTTAGACAAAACAGAGGCAATAATGAGTGGTGCCAAGCCCTGACCAAGACTTGAAGGTCCCAGCAGTGCCTGTGCTTAAATGTGTGCTACGTGAGATACTCCATTTCCTTAGTTGTTTTAAAAGACCTGTTGAGCATCCTGAGATTTTGTGGCATGTACATCCTGAAGGAATTTACTTTCTATTGTAGAGGCCTTGGGTGGAGAGACTCATCAGATGAAGTCTCAAGAAACATTTCTCTATTCACTTTAGGGCCTTGTGTGCCTGAATGCTCTCACATGAGAACTGAGAAGAAGCCATTGAATTGGCTAGTAAGCATTCTCTGATGACTTTTGCTGACCTGCCAGGGAATGGAAATGTGTCACTCACTGGAGAGGTAATCTGGCTTGAAGGCAGATGGGAAATGGGCAGTGATGTAAGTCTAGGCTTGGAAAGCTTTTCCATAAGAAGAATTCGTTTCAGCATCTCAGTAGGGTTACACTGGGGTGCCCACTGATGGAGAACTGTCAGTTATATCCAGTAAATAGAACTTTATAAAGAGCTACCTGTAGTGTCTGGTATTGGACTGGTGACAACTTTTCTGGAGGATGGTATTTGGGGACTTCTAATCCTTTAGGCCGCACATAACAGCTGCTCTCTATATATATAATTTGGGAAATCCTACTCCTCTAACAGCCAAGAACTTCTCCTTTGCTGTGGTTTTGAGCCTTGTAGATTGTGTTTGTGCATGCGCTGGCTTTTCTCAGGGTTTATATAGACATTTTCTAGCCCCTTGGCCTTGTCTATCCTTAAAAGCACATACTTTCTTACCTAACTTGAAGAGAGGCATCAGAACCAGTATTTCCTTAAGTGACGGCAGAACATTTGGTTTGTGTTTTGCTGATTTAATATATTTCTCTAATGTACATATTAAAATCCATTTCTTTCATAATTCCCAGTACTTTTTTTTCTTGAGATAAGATCTTGCTTTGTAGCCAGGGTTAGCCTTGAAGTTGCAGTCCTATTGCCTCAGCCTTCCAAGTGCTGGGATTATAGGCCTGGGCCACCATACCAGCTTCCCAGTGTTCCTGTGGCTTTTATTTGTTTCCTTCTGTTTTAATGTCATCTTTCAAAATGCAGCCTTGGGCTGGAGAGGTGGCTTAGCAGTAAGAGCACTTGCTGGTCTTGCAGAGGACCCAGGTTCAGTTCCCAGCACACTCACCTGGTGGCTCACAACTGTCTATAACTCCAGTTCCAGGGGATCTGATGCCCTCTTCTAGCCTCCACAAGTACTGCACAAGCCTGGTGCACAGACAGACAGACAGACATATAAAATTTAAAAAAATCCAAAATACAACCTTAAACTAACCCTGTTCTTTTCATTATTATTGAGAAATGTTTTATGATAGGACCATGAAGATGCTCAGCACTAACAACCTCTGAGGGACCCACATGGTGGAAGAAGAGAACCAGATCCCTCAAATTGGCCTCTGACTTCCACATGTGTGTTGCACACACACACACACACACACACACACACGAATTAAAATATAATAAAAATATTCTAAGTGCCTTTTATTGGCAAGTGCCTTGTTACATGTAGATGTATGCCTGGCTCTCACTAAAATCAAGTAAAACAAATAAAACTTTTATCCTCATTTCCTGGGTTTTAGCAGTTTCCAGTGACTTAGGCTGTTCACAGAACTATCACAGTTTATGGTCAGAGTTTAATATAAAGTTTCATGAGTGAGAGAGAAAAAGAGGAAATAGTGATGCTGAGTAAAGATGGAAAGTTGTGAGGATGTTGTTAGATGTACAGATAGATCCCATGTGATATCAAAATGACACAGATATGCATTGTTTTTTTAAAGACATGGTCTCACTATGTAACCCTGGCTAGCTTGGCCTAGAACTCACTTTGTAGATCAGACTGGCCTTGAACATGCAGGGGTCCCTCTGCCTGTGCCTCCCAAGTGCTGGGATTAAAGGCTTGTGTCGCCATGCCCATCTTCACTGATCGTTTTTTAAATATCTTATTTATTATTTTTATTTTAAGTGTATGAATGTCTTGACTGCATGTATGTAAATGCCCCATGTTATGCAATGGCTGCGGGGGTCTGAAGAGAGCATTGGATTCCCCTGGAACTGGAGTTGCAGAGGACAGTTGTTAGCTGCCATGTCGGTGCTGGAAATCAAACCCGGGTCCTCTGCTAGAGCAGCCAGTGCTCTTAACCACTGAGCTATCTTCCGGCCCTTTCATTGATCATTTTGAGGGATCTAAACACTTGATGACAGCATGACAGCAGTGACTAATGCCTAGGATCTGCACAAAACTGAGCCAATAGACACTCCATCATAGAGGGGCAGGCCTCAGGCCCCACCCTTCCCTGAGGCCAATTGACACTGCATCATAGAGGGGTGGGCCTCAGGCCCCACCCTTTCCTGAGGCCAAGGAGCTTTAGGTACTTAGCTGAAGGAGGGGGGAGCACCTTCCTGAGTTGGGCAGCCACTGGTAAGTCATCCTTGCCTCAGTAAATAACCCCATGCTCATGCAGGCAACCCAGTGAGTCATACACACAAAAAAGACATTAAAAGATGGGAACCTGTTGGGAAGGGTGGGTTCAGTGGGGGTAGGAGGGGGGCAAGAGAGGGCAGTGGGGGGGGATATGATCAAAGTACATCATATATTTGTTTATATTTATGAAACTGAAAGAATTCTTAAAAATTGAATGAAACTTGGAGCTGGAGAGAGTGGGCTGTTGGTGAAGTTCTTCTCTTGCAAGCATGAAGACCTGGATTTGATTCCCCAAAATCTAGGTAAAAATTACAGGCTTGGAATCAAGCACTTCTAATCCCAGCACTAGGGTGGTGGAGACAGGAGGATCTCTGGGGCCCTCTGGCCAGCTAGTCTAGCCCAGTTGGTGAGCTTTAGACCAGTGAGAGAACCCTGTCTCTAGAAAGGTGGATGACGTTTCTCAGGATGGCACTCAAGGTTGTTCTCTGGCCTCCACATCCATGTGCACACGTGTTTATACACATGTGAATCTGATGAAACCTACTTTAGTCTTTGCAGTAGAAAGCCCAATCGTACAAGTTCCTATTCTTAACACTCACCCTGAGTCCACATGTGATTCTGGAGGGTGCTCCTCTCAAGCTCACTGTATACAGAATACAGTAGCCATAGGCTTTGTGCAGTACTTTAATTCAAATGAACTTAAAAAGTAAGTTAATTAAAAAAAAAGTCAGTTAATCAGATTAGCCACATTTCATGGCCACATGTGGTTTCACTGGACATTTTCAAGAATACAGAAAGCTGTCTGGGCTCTGTGGGATTTAGTTGCTTAACTGAATCTTTTGCCTGTCTACCAATACTGAACTATAGAAATGCCTTGTTTCATGAAAAATTAACATGTTTATGTTATATTAGATGTTTCATCTTCCTAAAAGAATATTATTGATATGAATTATTTAAATAGGGAAGGTGCTAGGTGCTGTCAGTGACAGTTTTGATTTGCCTTTTTTTTTAACTTTTTATCTTTTCTGTGAAGTAGTATTCAGTTGCTAGATAATGGATTTCATCTGACCAGGACTTGCTTCCACATTGATCTGTTGATCTGTTCCTGTGGTATTTTCTTTAGTCCTGGTTTGTTTTGTTACTTTCTTGTTGTAGAGCTAGCACCCATTAGACTTAATGACTTTCCTTGACTTGCTTCTTGTTCACACACTTCAACAGGATAACCAGAAAGACTTTAGAAATAAACAGAGGAACTAATTGGGCTAAGATATATCTAAATTAAAATATAAGGAAATAAAACAGTTCAGATGAAAACAGAAATAATATTAGGATTATTTGTCTCACCCCCACCCGTTCTGTTAGAGAGTCTCACTATGTAACCCAGGCTGACCTTGAACTCTCCAGCTCCAGAATGGAAGGATTACAGGCATGGACCACCATGCTCTGCTTGAAGCTCAGCTTCTTCAGCTATGAAATTAAGTGAAATGATAGGTATGCCTCCAATTAGTACATCCAGAGTCAATGAATGCAAAAGGAACTTGTGAATTTAGGGAGGGGTGCCTAAATTTAAACCAGGAGTGATAAATTCAATTTCAATTTTTGGAAGTGAGAGGTAGTGAAGAGGCAGTGGAGTGTGTGTTTCTGAAGTCCTGAGAAGGTGCTTTCAAAGGGTGGGGAGCTTTCTTCCTTTTGGTACCTTACTAGAGGAACTCACAGTGTATGCATGCCAGCTCCTAATTGCTGGCCATCAATAGTACCTGCTTTAAAGTGGTTTTCTCATTAGAATTGCAATAATCAATCTTTTTGTTCCCGTATATTTTAATAGATGCCGAAAAGTATAGATACAAGTAGAATAATAGAATAACAAAAATAACAGAGGAAGTGATTTACTTTAGCATTTATTATTTATTTTGCATTTCACCGTGTGCAGAGAGAGCATTGTGGCAGACAGAAATAGGACAAGTGAATGGGTGACATTGGAACTGGAAAACATCTAATCACTAAGAGTGATTAGAGCATCTTAGAAAATAAGGAATTACAGTGGAGGTGGGAATGATGGAGAGTGCAAGGAAAAGAGAGAGACTAGGCTTTGGGTGCCATTGAAAACTTCTTGCATGAGGTAATCTGAACTAGGCCTCTGATGAGTGGTTTTCATAGCATAGCCATTGTGGTAGGGAGGTGCCTCCCAGACCATAAATGCCAGAGGTAGGTTTGGGTGGGAGTAGTGAGTTGTGAGGATATCAGGACAGGCTTGAGAGGTTGGATGGCAGATCCGACTTTTAAATTCTGAGCCACCTCTCCAGGCCCCCTAAGTAGGCATTTAAAAATTGTCACTTGCCCAGCTAAACATTTTTACAAAGTGTGTTTTTAGAATAGTATGGGCATATTTTTTTAGAGTTAAAAATTGACAGCTGAGAAGTATGGACATTTTAATACATGTATGTGTATTATGAATGTTTTTAACAAGTATATTTCGTTTTTATTAGACATGGTAGACATGTTAAGAAATTCCGAATGGCAGATATTAGGAGCATGGTTGAAGAGGGTTCACCATAAATACAGGTGTTTAGGAGGGGCTAAGGTCTAGCTGCATCTGCACTGGTGAGTAAGATGTAGTCAGGTGTCTAGAGGAGGGATTTGGTGGGGTGGCAGTGAGGAGAAGATGGAAGTCATACAGTGAGCATCCTACTGGAGGATCAAGTGTGAGGCTAAGGCCAGCTGACACCATTGGCAGTGGAGAGGGATTGTGAAGTATCCATCTTAGCTCTATCTGAGGTCCTCCTCCTGTGCCTTGCAGCTTATTTGCCTAATGCAGTCTGTAACCTTTTTGGACTCTTGCCTGATCGAGTCTCCACTGCTGAATGTATCTCAGTGCCTTTCCTTAATCCTCGGGTCCAGGTAAAAATCCTTCCTGTGACTTCTAAGACCCTGCCTACCCAGGGTCCCCTACCTCCAGTCTCACCTCCCTAGTATACTTTTGACTCTTTGGTTTATCTTGAGGTCTCCTAGTCCATGCCAACATCAGGGTTTCTTGGCAGAACCTTCACATGCATTGGTCCCTCGTCCTGGTTCCGGCTCCTCAGCTGTCCTCCTGCTGAGCTTCCTTGAGTTAGATACCCTTTCCCTTAGAGTCAGGCATTAGTTAAGACTGTGTCCTAAGGGCAGCATGTGGCTAAAGCAGTCATTGAAACGTGGTTGGAGCACACCACACTGGAAAACTGTGCAGGCTCTCATTAACACTGTGTAGCACAACCTGGTTTTTGTCTGGTATTACCTTTTCCTTCCCTACAGTTTAGCAGTTGAAGTAGTTGGCTTATGTCTACAGTGTCATGTTGAATGCAAATTAAGTCTGACTGATGGCTGGCATCACATACTGCTCCGTGACAAACTGGAAGACAAGGCCTAGGTCTGATTAAGGAACCCCCAAATTTGTACATTGTGCCTCTTACCCACTGGGAGGAAATGGTGAACAGACAACCCTGTATGTATTAATGTTACTGTCACTCAGGTCAAGACTGTATGGTTTGCATGTTTAATGCATGGCATATAGTAGGCATTCACTAAATACTTTTTGAAAAACTGCTTTCACCCATCCTATGAAACTAGGTTTTTGTGGAGATGACTCAGAGATCTGCAAACATTTGACTCATATTTCATTTAAAACATGTTTTAAGATATAGCACACTTGGTTGGGGCTGTGGCTCAGTTAGTAGAGTGCTCAATTAGTAGAGTGCTTGTCTAGCATGCATGAAGCCCTGGGTTTGATCCCTGGCACCATATAAAACTTGGCACGATGGTGTCTCTGTAATCCCCACTCTTAAAAGGTGGAGGCACAGGAGGTTCAGAAATTCAAGTTCATCCTTAGCTACATAGCAAATTGGAGGAGGCCCTGTGTTCAAGAGGCCCTGTCTCAAAATCATCAAAATTGCAGCATACTCAGATGTGCTTTATATTATATACTGACAGATTAGCCTCCTAGTTCTGTTGTTTGCTTTTTTCTGGTACAGAAATGGAATAAAGCAAACAAATGAAAAACTTTCTGCTTCCACCTACTTATTTTCATTGAACCTGTAACAACAGTAAAACCCTAAAAAAAGAAAAAGTAGTTCTGATTGAAGTAGCCAGTGGGCTGAGTGCTGTGTGAATAGCTTACTATTGTATGAGCTGTGTGATCTCGCATTGTCTATAGCCCCTCTCTAGAACTCTGCACTTGGCTCTAATGGGGAAATACTAAGATACTTGTGAGGAAGAAATGTAGGTGGCATATGGGGCTCAGTAAGTGTTGGCTGCTGTTGTTCTTTTATCCTTAATCCTACATGTCACCAATTTAAAGAGTCTCATGTTTTAATTGATTGAATTTGCAAGTTAAGGACTGCTGTATGTAACTTCCACAGAAATGCCCTTTGCTTTAAGAGTGGAGAGAGAGAATTTGTTCCTTTGGTTTCTTAATGGAGGCCTGCCTGCATATAATTTGTTCTGTCTATAACTGTTGAAATTGGGTGTAAAAAAAAAAAAAGACCATTTAAAAGCCTTCGTTTTCTCATTCCACAGAAAGTTCCTACACTTGAATGAGCCTGGCCGTGTGGTGAAACACTTGTGTGCAGGCATCTGAGTAGATCTTGGAGGTAGGTAGTGCTGTTGATGCTGTTCCCATGAAGTTTCAGGATGTTGGGCTCAACCACCCTCACGGCTGTGCCCTCTGGCCTTGCTTGGTACTAGGGGCACCTTTTCTCTCCTGGCATTCTGTTCTTTTTCACACAGACAAGTTTACATTTTTGCCTTGGCTGCCCAGAAGCTTCAGGACACTGTGCTCCAAGTCCTACTTAGCCTGACTCTATGAAGCATGTTGGTGCCTCTCCCTCCTGTGGCCCCTTTGTTTACTTTGTGTTACCCTTATTTTATTCTCTAGGACATGCTTATTATCAGCTACCCAAAATGTAGGCAAGTATAATTCCTAGTATAATTGTATAGCTGTGTCTGCATGAGCAAGTTATCAAAGAAGGGTGGACAGATAATAAGACATTTTGGAATAAAACAAATCAATGGCTAAAATACAACATTTGTTGTAGGGTTGTTTTTAAGGTTGGGATAGATCATAGCATTTAAGTATTTTAAGTTAAAAATATGGATACTAGTAGTAGTCAGATACTTGTTTCACATTTAATTCTTCTTTTCACAATTAAAATTATAAAACAGGAACAGGCCTGTTATTCTGGAGGCTGAAAAGGCTGAAGCAGGAGGATAGGAAGCTTAATGCCTTCATGGACTATAGAGCCAAGTGCAAAGCCAGCCTGGGCAACTTAGTGAGACCCTGTCTCAAAAAGTAAGAGGGTTGGGGTTACGGTTCACTCACTGGTAGAGCACTTGCCTAGCATACACAAAGCCTTAGGTCCCATCTCCAGTACCATAGAAGGATAGAAGGGGCAAAAACAAAAACTAAAAACCAAAAAAAAACCACATTAAAAACAATGTACGTTGTTAATGTGAGCTTTCTGATTTTTTTTTTCAGGTAATGATGCTTAAACTGAACTAATAAGGTAAGGTTCATGACCTACGTATGTATTATGCTTTTCTTAGTCTGATTTCTTGATTTGTAAACTGTTATGTGAAACTTGATGAAGATTATTGATTGCCTTTGGACAGTCATTCCAACTGGAATATCAGTGTTCACATTACCTTTATTTTTACCTAAATTAAAAACTAACATAGTAGGATACTTTTGTTCATTTAACTTATGCTAAAGAAACTTCAAAGGTTCTATTGCTTTTAGAAAAGAACAGAGAGGGAAGGGCTAGAGATAACTCATCCATTAAGAGCACTTGCTCTTACAGAGGACTAGAGTTCAGTTCCTAGCATTCACGTTGGGGGGCTCACATTGGCCTGTACCTCTAGTTCCAGGGGATCATATGCTCACTTCTGGGCCATGCAGGCATCTGCCCACATGCAGTACACGAAACACACACACACACACACACACACACACACACACACATACACACACACACACACAGAGAAAGCACCAGACAACACACACACACACACACACACACACACATACACACACACACACACAGAGAAAGAACCAGGAACATGTTTAATGTCCATAAACTTGCTGTGATTCTGTTAATGAATGGATTGAGTGAAGCTTGCTTCTCTTTGTAGCAGTAACAACTAAGAAGGTTCATATAGTTATAATTTTTTTGATTTATTTTTATTTAATGTGTATGAGTGTTATGCCTGCATGTATGTTAGTACGGCCATGTCATATAGTACTTGCAGAGGACAGAAGAGGGCATCAGATTCCCTGGAACTGGAGTTATGGACAGTTGTTAGCCACCATGTGAGTGTTGGGATTCGAACCCAGGTCCTCTGCAAGAGTAGCCAGTGTTCTTAATCACTGAGCCATCTCTCCAGCCCCAGGGTGTGCATAGTTATAACATCATGTAGGTTTGTATACAATTATAAGGTTAAAATCAAAGGAGTAGCCTTGTATATTAATTACATTAGCAAAGGCACATATATTCCCAAGTAGGAATATCTGGGAGCCTCCAAATGGTAAATGTGAATGCCGAAAATATTTCCTGGTGTGTGGAATTTGCAAATGCCAAATTTCTTTGGCCAAATAATGTCATGAAGTACAAATTGCCACATAATTAGGAGGAAAAAAACGAATTATCAAAAGGTCCTAATCACACTATAAATCTCAACGGATTCCTAAAACAGTCTGGGAGATATATACAACCAGCAGGCTAGGTGGGGGTTGTCAAATTGTATGATATGGCTTAGAATTGGATTTACAGTTTCTAAAAATTCAGTGCTATACACTGTGTCTGGTCAGGCAGTGAGATTAGTAGACTTAAAACACTAGGATAAATATGATAGACTATTATGTATATTTGCTTTCCTTTTGTGTTTCTGTGTGTAAAAAAAGAATCATGTGATTCGGGGCATGGTGGCACAGGCCTTTAATCCCAGCATTTGGGAGGCAGAGGCAGGCAGATCTCTGAGTTCAGGGCCAGCCTGGTCTATATAGTGAGTTCCATGCCAGCTGGGGCTCCAGGGAGACCCTGTCTCAAAAAGACCAAAAAAAAAAAAAAATCGTATGACAACAACATTGAGGAGCGTTTCTGGGAAAGGGTTCTTAGTGGAGGCAATGACCAAACTGAACAGGTTTGCAGACACAGTAGTGAGTTTGGGGTTGGGAGTGGAAGGATCACTGACCGAGAGAGCAGCATGTGGTGGGCAAAGGCAAACATGTCCTCAGTTCCACGTGACAGTGCATTTCAGAGTGACTGAAACAGAGACTGTAGCAGCAGTGTGCTTGTGTGGCCAGAGTGGTACCTGGGTCAAGTGTTGTGTCTTAGAAGTTGACCTTAGTCCTCAATGTCTGGCGAATAAACCACTGACAGATTTTAATCATTTTGGAGTAGTGTCAAATGTTTTCCCTGTGTTAATATAGCCATGCCATTTAACACAAGATACTTTCTGACGTAGCTCACATGGTTGTGATTATGAACATCCTAGAGGATGCTTACAGAAAGCTAAGTGGAGTTGGTCAGTTTCTTAACCATGGCCTCTTGATGCATTTGTGAAACTGGGTACACATGAAATGTGTAAGGCAGGTTTTGTGTGTAAACCTTGTGATTCTCTTGCCTCTGAGTCCTGAGTGCTGGGATTACAGGAGCAGGGATTACATCACACTTTACTGTCAGGTCATTTATTTGTTTTTCCATTAACTTGATTTCTCACTATATAAGCTGCTGTTTTTATCAGAGTACTAGAACAAATAGAGATGTGGAATTCTTGTGTGTTACAAAATTGTTCCCTTATTTTATATTGGCTACATTTGTTCAGGAATAGCTGATAGCCAGGTAACACCTATTAATAGTGGTTACAGAAGTTTTCCGTAATCCATATAACAAGTATTCATTGTGAAATTTACAATACCTAATTTTTGTTAAAGACAGGTATTACTATGTAGCCTCTGCTGTTCTGAAACTCTATATAGACCAGGCTGGCCTTGTTCTTAGTGATCTAGCTGCCTCTGCTTCCTGAGTGCTGGGAGCAAAGGCATGTGCCACCTCACCTGGCTCACAATATCTACTTTTGTGATAAGATTAATAACTACTTTTATTTTAGACCTGTTCTGTCTAGTACATGGCCATTTAAAGTATTTAAAATTAAATAAATAGGGCTGAGAGTGGAGCTCATTTGTAGATTGTGTACTTAGCATGCACAGGCTAGGACATGCATGCACGCCAGCTAAGAGTTGTTGCTGCCCAAATGAGTTGAATGTGCTGTTGTATGAAAAAGTCCATTGCTGCTGACATTGATTTTAGTAACTCAAAATAAGTTTCTAATGAAGACAGTAAACTCAGTATACCCTATGATTGGTTGATTTTTATTTCATAGCTGAATCAGTGAGCTTCGGGAAGTCTCTGGCTTTCCTGCTTAACAGTGCCTGTATCTGAACTGTATCTGAAGAGAGAAGGGGTAGTAGCAAAAAATCTATCAGTCAATATCATCTCTGGGCAACTAGGGGCTTTTTGAAGTTGTTAAAGAAACCTGTGGACTTTGGACTCTTGGTACATCTTCACCATGGGGTGGCTAAGGCTGGGAAGTGTTTTTGATAGTGATGCTTCAGAGCATCTTTGAGGTTAGATTTGGCCTGAAGTCCAGTTTCACAGTCAGCTGAGGAAGGGGAAGAGTGACTCCTTTCCTTGGTAGGGAATAATGGTAGGATAGAGGCTGGTACCTGTGCAAGTGACAGTAAATGAACGTTCTTGTTACTTAGGTATTCCCTTTGCAAAAAAGAATCAGGGCTATGTGTTTTATTTCACTTAAGTGCTGATATTAGAATTGTGTGGAGGATCGCACCAATGTGAAGGAATGTAATGATATCTCTTATTTTACAGGGTTCTAAAGTTGAAATTCATATAATTAATAATGGCTGGGAAATCTTCGCTTTTTAAAGTCATTCTTCTTGGAGATGGTGGAGTTGGCAAGAGTTCTCTTATGAACAGATATGTAACCAATAAGTTTGATGCCCAGCTGTTCCATACAATAGGTGTGGAATTTTTAAATAAAGATTTGGAAGTGGATGGACATTTTGTTACCATGCAGATTTGGGACACAGCTGGTCAAGAACGATTCCGAAGCCTGAGGACACCATTTTATAGAGGTTCTGACTGTTGCCTGCTTACTTTTAGTGTTGATGATTCACAGAGCTTCCAGAATTTGAGCAACTGGAAGAAAGAATTCATTTATTATGCAGATGTGAAAGAGCCTGAAACCTTTCCTTTTGTGATTCTGGGCAACAAGGTCGATAGAAATGATCGGCAGGTGTCCACAGAAGAAGCCCAGGCCTGGTGCCGGGACAACGGCGACTATCCTTACTTTGAAACGAGTGCAAAAGATGCCACCAATGTTTCAGCAGCGTTTGAGGAGGCAGTTCGAAGAGTGCTGGCTATTGAAGATAGGTCAGATCCCCTCATTCAGACAGACACGGTCAATCTGTACCGAAAGCCCAAGCCAAGCTCCTCTTGCTGTTGATCGTTAAGATGGTTGTTGCCTGCATTCTAACAAACTCACACACGAGGGTGGACGAGAGAATTAGTGTTTGCAGCAGTGTTCATGTACTAATAAAATTCAACTAACGCATCTTGCTGCCTCATTAGCTGGTGGGAGAAGGGACACATTCACTCTGGAGAAATCTATTTACTCAGTAATGACACTTTACATTTATAAATTGTAACGGTTGTCTAATAATGTTTCTTTAATTTAAAATGATAGCACTAATAAGATGACCAAGAATTTAATTGTAATTCATACAAAAAACTTGGACCATTCTAGAAGTTACACTTGGAATGTTTTTCCCATGCCCAATGGGAAAATGAAGAATTACTTTTATATGTGTATATTTTTATGTAATTAGCATTCTATTCTTGGTTTAGGGAAATAAATTCCTACAGCATTAAGATTAAAGATTAAATCTAATGCATCTATTTGCATTGCAGTGCTTTTTGAGTTGATCACCTCATCTCCAAAATGTTTTAACCTTTTTTATTCATTCTGCATATTAAACTATCTCACATTTGCTCAATTGTGTGGCACACATACATACCCATTCCCAAAACAAGAGCTAGCTTTATGTACTTCCATTAAAAACAAACAAAAACAGACATGGTCTTACATATTCTAGGTTGGCCTTGACCTTGCTGTATAGCCGCAGATGACCTCAGGTTGAACTTCTGGTCTTTGTGACCCCTACTCCCTGAGTGTCATCATAGGCATGTGTCCTGTGCATGCTAGGCAAGTCCTGTACCAGCTGAGCTACATCCTTAGCGCAGAACTGTACTTCCTGAGAGGGTAACAAAGACACCTGTATTTGCAAGCTATTTCTTTAGTCTCTGTATCACTGTTTAGCTATTTGTGCTCAAGATTTTTCCATGCTAAAAAAACAACTTGCAGCAGTGACCAGACTCAATACTAGAAATTACAGTCTTTCGTAAGTGGTGCCAGTAACACGTCCTGTCCTGTGGAAGCTAATCAAAGCCTAGACTGCTGTTAATGTGGGTGAGGCCCACCATTGTGAAGCAGTTGTATTTTCAAAAACAATTTTATCCTGTGTGTGTGTTCTGCCTACATGTATATAAGAATACCATGTTCATGCGTGGTGCCTATGAACCAGATGAGGATGTCAGATCTGGTATTGGAGTCATGGATTGTTGTGAGCCACCATGTGAGTGCTGGGAACTGAACCCAGGCCCTCTGCAACACTCAGCCACGTCTCTATACCCCAGTGGTCTTATTAAAGAGTAGGGCTGTAGACTGCTAGGCTAGAGGGTAGAATGTGGAAAACCCCACCCATTGGGAACTGCTGAGGGAACAAATCATTGCCCTAAGCTTAAGCTTTTGAAAGTCTAGGACAGTTCTGCCATATGCCAATAGTTTAAATTTGGGACAGGGGATGGAGAGATGGCTCAGCACTTAAGAGCACTAGCTGCTCTTGCAGAGAATCTGGGTTTGGTTTCCAGCACCCACATGGCAGCTAACAATCGTCCTTAACTCCAGTTCCAGGGGAGCCAACACCTGACCTCCAAGGGCATTGCATGACACGGGTATACTTACATACAATGCAGGCAAAACATTCATATACACATAATAAAATTTAAATTACAATTCAAAGTCTGTTAGACGGACACAATACACATACAGGTGTGATGTTTAATGAGAGGGTTTCATGTAGTCTAGGCTGGCCTTGAACTCAGAATACTAACCAGGTTGTTTTGTCCCATGCAAATGATCTCAATCAACTTTCAAAGGCCCTGGCCTGAGTATAGTTACATTCTGAGGTGGTTTTAGTTTCCTGTTGCTGAGATAAAACACTGACAAAAGCAACTTGAGGGAGAGAGTTTTATTCTGGCTCAATTTCCTGGCAGGGAAGTCACAATGGCAGGAGTTCAAAGAGCTGGTCACATTATGTTCAGAGAAGAAAAGAGCAATGAATTTATGCATGCATGGTCCTGATCAGCTGGCTTTCTCAACTCTTTGAATGCCTTGGCAACAAATGGTGCCACCCACAGTGGGTGATTCTAGATTGTGTCAAGTGACAACACTAACCACCACACGTGTACTGGGGGAGTGGGAGGGTTAAGTTTCAAAATGAATTTTAGGGGAAAACAAGCCCTATAGGCATTTATACAGATGCAAACATGTTAATTACCACTTTTTGGAGGATGAATGAGGGTTGCAGGAGGATGGGCAACCTCACTAGTGGCTACACCACTGTGGAAAATGTGTCCCCCTCCCCCAGGGACCATTAACTACCTAAAATACCCACAGAGGGGTGGGGCCTCATGAGTCCCTCCCTATTTGCAACTGTTAACCCCCTATAGAGCCTCAGGGGTGGGTAGAGACTCATGAGTCCCTCCCCCTAGCAACTGTTAACTGCCTGTAGATTCCCAGGAAGGGGTGGGGCCTCATGAGCTCCTTGCCAGGAACTGTTAACTACCTGTAGATTTCCAAGGGAGGGGTGAGCCTCATGAGTTCCTTCCTCTTTACAACTGTTAACTGCCTATAGATTCCCCAGGGAGCTCATCTCTGATGGAGCATCACCAGGCCCAATCTTGTGCAGGTCTTGTGTAGGTAATAATGGTTGCTGAGAGTTCAAAAGTGCAATGGCCATATTAATATTTTTGTTTAGATTGTTAATTTATTTGTTTAGACTGAGTATTTTGGCACTTTAACTCTACCTCCTTTCTTGTTTAATTAGATAGGGTCTCAGCTGAAGCTGGCATTACATTCCCGATCATCCTACTTCTGTCTCCCAAGTGCAGGAACTACAGGTATGCATAACCCACCCACTTTTAGAATTTTAACTTAAAAGTCTTAAAGGGACTGAAGAGATGGCTCAGCAGTTAAGAAGACTTGCAGAGTCCTTGGGTTAGGGACCCAAAATCCATATAGTGGCTAATAACTCCATTTCCAGGTGATCGTCTGACACTCTCTTCTGACTTCTATGAGCCCCAGGCATGCATGTGTTACACATACATACATGCAAGCAAAACATACACATAAAATAAAAATAAACATTTAAAAAAACCTTTTCAAGTTGGGCTTGGTGGCACACACCTTTGATCCCAGCACTCAGGCGGCAGTGGCAGGTAGGTCTCTGTGAGACTGAGGCCAGCCTAGTCTACATATTGAGTTCCAGGACAGCTGGGTGGGACTACAGAGAGATGCTGTCTCAAAAAAGAAAACTCCAAACCAAAAACTGTTGGGCTTGGTGGCACACACCTTTGATCCCAGCACTCAGGCGGCAGTGGCAGGTAGGTCTCTGTGAGACTGAGGCCAGCCTAGTCTACATATTGAGTTCCAGGACAGCTGGGTGGGACTACAGAGAGATCCTGTCTCAAAAAAGAAAACTCCAAACCAAAAACTGTCAAAATAAAACTTCAATAATCTGTGAACTACTGAAGGATTAGATTCGTTGGCTTTTACTTACGTGTGTGTATATGCCACATGCATGTGGGTGTCCCAGTGGCAAAAAGAGGGCACCAGATCCCCTGGAGCTGGAGTTATAGGCAGTTTTGAGCCATCTGACATGGGTGCTGGGAACGAGACTTGGTCCTCTGGAAGAGTAGTCAGCACTCTTAAACCACTGAACCATTTTTTCAGCCCCATTAGCTGGCTTTCAAAAGGTCTAAACCTGAGCAGCAAAAAGTAATCAAAGGAAAGATTTTTATGTCTGCAGAGAACGGCTGAAGGAAAAATACAAAGCTTCATACTGTGTTAAAGGCTAACCTACCAAACATGGTACCAAGCTGTAGGAACTGAGAAAAAGAGGAAGAACAAAACCTCATGGGATAGCTTTGACCTTTGAACTGCAGCTAACTTTGATGGAAAAGCAAAAGGTAGCTGAAGATAAGATTTCTTTTGAGGAAAGTCAGGGCTCTGATGGCTGGTATTACCAATAAAGATGAGCAATATGGAAAAGCAAGAGAGGCAGTGAAAAAAGCAGGTGGTGTGGCAGCAGGAATGGTGACAAGCAGCTGCCCAAGAAGAAAGCAGATGGATGAGAAGAACTGTGCCATGCTTCACTGACCAGAAGGAGGGAGGTTCTGATGGTACAGGAGTCACCATACGGCATTTATCTTTGACATCCATTACAATAGTCATATCTAGCTAGGGGTAAGCTATGTATGAATGCAGAGCCTTTTGAGATGGTGTTCAGTTTTAGGTAAAAGACATATTACTGAACTTGGAGAACAGATAAAGGTGCATTTGGTCACTAAAACAGCAATATTTCTGATACTTTACCATTCTGAGAGCACCCCCAGTTGAAGTTAAAGCATCCCAGATATTTTGCCTTAAAACCTTGCTTTTTATATTCCTATACTATCTTGCTTTCATATTACTCTAATGACATCATGATACAAGTCCTTTTCAATGGCAGTAAAGAGAAATGGACTAATGTAAGTTCCCAGTCAATGATGGAGTCTGACCAGTCAATGGTTTCTGGGATGCTATAGACTGTCAACTTGGAAATACTAGAGGCTGAGGACTTCAAGAACACAGGGGTAATAGCATAGGCAGAGCTAAGACCTATAGAATCTATATTACCAGAAACATACCAGGACCATGGATGCAAAGTGAAGAATCCTAGAATTGTCCAGGTCCAGAAAGCACAAAACCTGGTTTGTGCATTTTCGCATCTGGTTGGAACAGCACCTAGCAGATCCAAACTTTGTCAGAATAGTTTTCCTAATGTTCTATCCCTTATGCAGATCCTGGTTCTATGCTACCAGCCCCAGTGCTTTCTCTAGGCCTCTGTGCCTGGAAATGCTCTCTTCTATGAGGTACCAGTCATTGCTTAGACTTCCCCTTGAGCTGCCTCACTGACAAAGTCATACATGAAAATTGGCACTTGGAGAAAAGGCTATTTAAAGGTACTTCTCAATTGGCTGACCCAGGGCCAGAACCTAAGTCTTACCCCTGTGACTTCCTGCCTGTAATGTGATGCTGCTACTGGCTGGCTAGAATTCTAGCCATCAGGGTTGTATGTTCTTTTACTGTGGGGCAAGTTGCATAGAATGGCCCAAAGCACTACATTTCTTTTTTTTTCTAATTATTTTTATTTTATGTGTATGAGTGTATTGCCTGCATGTAGGTAGATGCACTCCTGTTGTGTAATGCCCACAGACATCAGAAGAGGGTGTTGGATTCTCTGGAAGTGGAGTTATGGATGGTTGTTAGCCACCATGTGGATGCTGGCAATCGAACCTGGGTCCTCTGCAAAAGCAGCCAGTGCTCTTAATCACTGAGCCATTTCTCCAGCCCAAAGTACTACAGTTCTTTTGAAAAGGATTTTATTATTTTAATTGTGCATGTCTGTGTGTGAGAATATGCACATGAATGCAGTGCCTACAGAGGCCACAAGAGGGCATCAGATTCCCCTGGAGCTGGAATTACAGGCAGTTGTGAGCCACCGGGTGTAGGTGCTGGGAACCGAACTTGGGTCCTCCATAAGAACAGTATGTGCTCTTAACCCCAGAGCGCTCCAGCTTCAAGAACTAGATTTCTACATGAGTAGCTT